CCAAATGATGCTGAGTCCCCCTCTCTCCCTATGTGTCTTAAAAAAAGAGCAGGGAGGGTATCCTGGAGCAACTCTGTATCCTGTAGGGCACATTGGCCTTTTTCAGGTAACCCAATGCTGGGCATCCAGACCTGAGCTGGGGGTTCTGGGAGTTGGGGAGTCTCGCTTTACTTCCAGGGTCCTTTTCTCTGTGTGTTCCGGGAATGCTCCGCCATCTCCCTTGCTAACGTTAGGGCTTTGCCCCGCCCACACCTGCTTTCTCTGGAGGTTCGCATCCCCTGTCAGACTCTCCCCCAAGTGCCTTCCTCCATCACCTGGCCACTGTGGGCTCCCATTCTGGAGACAGACCTGCCTCCTCTAGCTGGTCCTTAGGAAGGGAGTCACGGCTACCTCAGCACCGAGGAGCACAGGGCCTGGCCCAGGGTGCTAACCCTAACCCTCACCAGGAGCTCTGTCCTGATTAGGAGGAGGAAATTAATGCTCTCCAGCTGCAGACCCTGATAAGCATCGCTCTGGAACCTGGTGAGTTTGGACAGGGGAGGCGTCCCTGCAACTGGAGCACTACCAGCAGAGTCTCTATGCATGATGTTAGGGGAGCTGGGGCTCAATTTGAAGCAGCTGCCTGCGGTTGGTCCCATGAGGGCCAAGATCACTAAGAACCCCCCTCACCCCCACTGTGCAAAGACGTATAACCCCAACTTTGTTGGTTTTGCCAGGTGGGAACTCTCTGCATCTGTTTCTATAAAATGCCCACTGCAGGGAGTTAGTCCACATAGCTCTTGCAATGTTGCCTACATGCAAGGAGTGCTGGCTTTCTTTTTTTGTAGCTAGTAGGGCCAACACCCGGAATCCTGGAGAGATTGGGCTTAGGACCTGCGAGCTGCTTGTGCAGTGCTTTGGGGTACGTGAGGAGAGACCTACATGGGGAGGAGGGACAGGGACGCTGGGGTTTCCCCTTGCCTTTCAGGGAACATTGATTGTAACTAGATGTCCTCATCCGCAGCACGGGCAAAGGGGGGCCCTACACCACTTCCAGGAACTCTGGGGCCATCTCCTGGTGTGGCAGGTGAGATGGAGAGCAGCTGCCTCCTTCTAGAGCAGTGGTTCTCAACAACACCAAGACCCTTTAATACAGTTCCTCATGTTGCATTGACCCCATAAAATTATAAAATTAAAACCATAAAATTATTTTGTTGCAACTTCACAACTGTAAGGTTGCTACTGTTATGGATTGTAATGTAAATATCTGATATGCAGGAGATCTGATTTGCCCAAAAGGGTCTGGAACCACAGATTGAGAGCCAGTGCCCTAGGCACTATTGTCCTTCGGGCCACCAATGGGGCACTGGACCTTCCATGCCAACTTGGGAGTGAAATGGATAGAAAGTTGTTGTCATGCCACTGTGGCCCTCTGGGAGCAGTAGACTAGATCCAGACCTGCCGCTGATTCCTGCTGGAATCTCGGTTCCCAACTCAGCCCTTTCCTTGCCATGTGACTCCAGGCCTGTCACCTTAGCTAGCTACCATGGGTACTCCTTCAAGGGAGGAGGGGGAATAGCTGCAGGTCCCTGGGACTGATCACAGTAACACCCAGCTTTTGCGCCCTCCCTCCCCTAGGCCTTTGTGGGTAGGTGGATCTGAACTTGTTCCCAAGTCTGGGAGCTTGTTCCCTTGTCACAGGTGCACAGTGGTCCCCGGCCAGGAGCCAGGGGAGCTGGGGTCTGAGCCTAACCTGTCTTGCCTCAGAGGCCATCTCTCGGCTATGTCACTGCCAATGCTCAGGGATTCCCTCCCTCCCTGCTTCACTCTCCAGGCCACATTTGACAAGTTCGATGAAGATGCCTCGGGGACAATGAACTCCTATGAGCTAAGGCTGGCACTGAATGCCGCAGGTGAGGATGGGGACCTGGGATGGTTGTAAGGACAGCACCCACTCCTTTTGGGACACCTCAAAGTCTTGTCTGCACCCCTCATTTGATGGGCATCCCAAACTGGGGCTGTCCACAAGGCCCAGCATGAACTTCCTTCTGTGATGGCTCTGGGCACAAAACTTCTCTTTGAGTGACTGCTTCCAACTGTGACATAGCTAATGTGGAATGCCACTGGACGTGGACATTTATTCTCCAAAGGCAGAGCATCCCAAAGCACCTTCCCAGGCTGTATGACCAAGACCCGAAGCCATGGGGAAATGTTAGGGTGCCTCAGTGGGGTTACTGATTCTGAAGATGGGTTCCCGTGACCACCAAGTGGAAGGAGTCAGGGAGACTTAGGGAGAGACAGACTACATGGTCCTCGTTTGCCTCACAGTGGAGTGTGATTGAGGAAGACAAGTCAGTCTTTGGCTTCCATGTGCACACAAGTTCACACACGTGAGCATGCACATGCTACACCCCGCCCCCCAA